ATGTATGCAATTTTATTTAGAATGCAACAACATACATTGCTTTTACGCTGCATTACTCAGCCTGAAGAAGAATGATCTCTCACAATGAAATTTATATGCATGGTGAGGAATAAATAATGAGAAATCAGTTATCGTTACGCACTGTCGTAAGAAGAAATTTACGGATATATACGTAAACGCACAAAATTACATTTATCTACATTTACACTACGCAAGTATGTATAAGTATATCGAAATAATATTTATGTTTGTATGAATAAATATTTATGTTTTCAGTTCATGGAATAAAGAGAATTGTACGCTATAAAAATTGGAATAATTATAGAGAATTTTAATACTAATATCTCATTTAATTCAATTTTCGATTATCAAATTAATTTTGTTGTAGAATTTAAATACATTTTAATGATAGAATATTACACGTATTAGAACAGTAGAATAAATAAATTTTTATAGTAAAACACATATATTTATTTAGTTAATTTCTTATTCGTCCCAAGTTTTGAAATTAAGAGAACACAATAATAATTAATAAAATTAAATAAATGTAATTGATTGATAGAAAATTATAATAATAACTGATACTGTTAAACAAATGCAGGTAATTAATATCAATGGAACATAATGTAATAATTAATAAAAGACGGAATTTTCAACAATTATAGACACAAAATACGAATCATAACGATTTAAAATTGTAATGAAACATATAATTAACGTACCATCAACTTCTTCTAGGTTGTTTTTCACAATGGCCGCACGAATCTCTATTTCCAAAATTCCGTGGTCTACGTATTTCTCTTCCAAACGTGGGAATAAATCAGATACAATACCTAATTAAGCGAAAGAAATATGGAAACCTTGAAATTTGTAATTGCAGTAATTAAACTATTCGAACGAATTCGAGTACTTTTGGAAAATACGTAGCAAAAGATTCCTAGTGAATTACCATTAAACAATGTCAGGTCATCTTTTAAAAACTTTGGAACGTTCACGTCTCTCAAAGCAAGTAAGCAAATCTGTTGTTCATTTAAATCCTTTTGTTCCCGTTTCAAATTCCCTGCCACAGCTATCACCGTTTTCACCGCACGCATTCCAAAGTCATAATGATCCTTTAAATTTGAAAAATGCGACGCGCAGAATGGTTACATAGAAGAGTTGTGAATTTAAGTGTTTTTCTTTTTTCAAATCGAATCAATTTTTTAATTCTTGAAGCAATTAACTTTTTGATACAGGTAGGATGAAAAAGGTAGAGAAATTAATAAAACACGTCAATAGTACAATCAAGTATAATTAGCACTGAAACTGAGAAGGAAAAATTGCTCGAAAAATTAATCAATTCGTAATAATTTGTAATAATCAAATGGTAATATATTAAATATTACCATTTTCCAAATCTTGTACCTGCGTGCTTAATTGTTCCGAACTTAATTTAAACGTTGTCGTTATTTTCCCAGCTAAGCTTTTCGCCTCAGTAAAACCGTATGAAAATAATGAAATTTCAGCGATTAGTGCGTAATCCGGTACCATCATAGCTACAGGGCGGAACAAGGCTTTCAAATTGTCTGGTAATTCAGTTCGACCTGCGTAACCGGGATTCATAGTGATGAATACCGCGCAGGATGGCTTCAGCACAATTTCATCTGCTTCGAAGATGAATCTGAAAAAAATGTCATTATCTGTTATGACACTGAAGTAATATGATATATGTAGAATAAAAGCTGTATTTGCAAATCATCTATTGAAAGTTGTATTAAATAAAATTAATTGAAATATTAATTACAGTTTAAACTCACTTCTCCACTCGCATTTGCTGTGCTTGCTGGATTGTCATAATTTGTTGAGCAATCACAGATAACACCTCGATATCTATTCTATTGAATTCATCAAAACA